CAAGCCCACGGTGGATAGCTTGGTGTTTCGACTCCACTATCGATACACCAACCGGATCCTCCTCGCTTCCACCCTGCTAACCACGCTCTACGATGTCGTCGGTGGGTAGATAAACAGGTTGGTAGGTGGATGCGATGGGCATGTGGATAGGGGGATACGATGGGCGTGTGGAGGGGTGGATAGGTGGTCACGATGGGCGTGTGGAGGGGTGGATAGGTGATTACGATGGGCGTGTGGAGGGATGGATGCGATGGGCATGTGGATACGTGGATACGATGGGCGTGTGGATAGGTGGATACGATGGGCATGTGGATAGGTAGATACGATGGGCATGTGGATAGGTGGATGCGATGGGCATGTGGATAGGTGGATACGATGGGCATGTGGATAGGTGGATACGATGGGCGTGTGGATAGGTGGATACGATGGGCATGTGGATAGGTAGATACGATGGGCATGTGGATAGGTGGATGCGATGGGCATGTGGATAGGTGGATACGATGGGCATGTGGATAGGTGGATGCGATGGGCATGTTGAGGGGTGGATACGATGGGCGTGTGGATAGGTGGATACGATGGGCGTGTGGATAGGTGGATACGATGGGCATGTGGATAGGTGGATACGATGGGCGTGTGGATAGGTGGATACGATGGGCATGTGGATAGGTGGATACGATGGGCATGTGGATAGGTGGATGCGATGGGCATGTGGATAGGTGGATACGATGGGCATGTGGATAGGTGGATGCGATGGGCATGTGGATAGGTGGATGCGATGGGCATGTTGAGGGGTGGATACGATGGGCGTGTGGATAGGTGGATACGATGGGCATGTGGATAGGTGGATGCGATGGGCGTGTGGATAGGTGGATACGATGGGCATGTGGATAGGTGGATACGATGGGCATGTGGATAGGTGGATACGATGGGCGTGTGGATAGGTGGATACGATGGGCGTGTGGATAGGTGGATACGATAGGCATGTGGATAGGTGGATACGATGGGCATGTGGATAGGTGGATACGATGGGCATGTTGAGGGGTGGATAGGTTGATGGAGAGGCTGGGAGATAGACATGGAAAGTAAGGGTTGTCGTTTTTTTATGTTTATTCATTTGCTTTATTGTCTATTTATTCATCTACTGATTTTCTTCGTCATCTTTTTATTCATTCATTTATCTATTTATGAGTCCATTTACTTATTTTCTTTGCCATTTATTTATCCATTAATCTGTTCATTTATCTACTTTATCTACAATTTCTAACTTAGCTGATCATTCATTCTGAGGCGATGATGAATGACATTTTTTTTTACTATGGCATTTATTGATAGATATTTGGTAACAGACAGACTTTTGGAAATAAGTACTAGTAATACAGTGTTGCTATGAAAATGTTACATTAAGCTAAATTTTACCAATCCCTCACTTGCATTTTGCTCTCAAAACAAGAAAAATAGAAGAAATATATATCATGTGGTTGAAGAATAACCAGAAACAAAAAATAAAACACGAAATGGAAAACAAAATCACGATGTCCCCTCTCGGAAAAGGAATCACCTCCTCCCCCTCCCCCTCCCCCCCAACCTCCGAAACCAGACCTACGTCTCGAAGCCCGCGTCATCATCGCCCGTCAATTCACTCCTCGAAACCCATTTCTCCAGCCTCATCGTCCTCTCCTCCTGCAGGCAAAAAGATCGACTGCATCACAAACGTCGGCTCGGATTCCTTCAAAGAGGTGGTGGACAACTACTGCTTCATCATGGGCACGTTCACGGTGGACAGGCTGCACGAGAAGCAAGTGGGGGTCCAGGTGCCCCATCCGGGTGTAGGGCCGCCCGAACCCGACGACGAACTCACCTTCCACTCGTACTACCAGTGGGTGCCGTTCGTGCTGTTCGCGCAGGTGAATTTTTTCTTCGTTGTGTGTGTGTGTGTGATTTTTTAGAGGTGGTTTGTATGTCTTTTTTTTTGGGGGGGGGGAGGGGGGAGGGGTCTCTTGTGTCAAGTCGGCGTTGTAAAGTGTTTTAGCTTTTTGAACGAGTCACACGAGAGTTTTTTTTTGTTTTGTTTTTTGTTTACCTTTTTGTTTTCCAGCAACGTTTGTGATATGATCAGCCATTCGAAGTTACCCTGTTGGCGATTCACTAACTTGCTGGTCACACGTAGCGAGTGAAACCATTGCTTATGCGCTCGATTTCAGCAACTGACATGGCGTCTAAGATTGCTCGCGCGTCCCTCTTCGTAAGTTATGTGTCATCTGCTGTAGAAATGGAGGCTCAGCGAGTACTAAAATAATATACGTGGGTTCGTTCGTGGTTGCAGAGAAGAAATGGTAGAAGCGTGTATCATAATTTGCTGCAAGAAGTTCGTTTGGAGGATAAATATAGGCAAGATCCTTAGAGGAGTTTGGAAGACGCAAATACAAACAATGATGACGTCACGGATACTTTCAAATAAACTTTCATGTAGATATAAGAAGCACAATTGAAAGATGAAAGG